ACACGCAGAGTGGACAGTGAAAGAGAGAAAGAGAGAGAAAGGTCTTCCTTTGCCGTTGGTTCACCCTCCAATGGCCACCATGGCTGGCGCACCACGCGCTGATCCAAAGCCAGGAGCCAGGTGCTTCTCCTGGTCTCCCATGGGGTGCAGGGCCCAAGCACTTGGGCCATCCTCCACTGCACTCCCTGGCCACAGCAGAGAGCTGGCCTGGAAGAGGGGCAACCGGGACAGAATCCGGCGCCTCGACCGGGACTAGAACCCGGTGTGCCGGCGCCGCTAGGTGGAGGATTAGCCTAGTGAGCCGAGGCGCCGGCCAGGCTCTGGCTTTATCCACTACGCCACAGCGTCAGCCCCAGGAGGGAAAGCTTTCTAGATTAAAAGATAACAGAGTTGATAACAAAATCCAATGCACGACCTATGATTGGATCCTGAATGATGGAACAAGAGAGGAAAGACTTCAATGGCACAACTGTGGAAACAAATCTGGATATATATTGGATAGTGGTGATGCAGTCATGTCTGACTTCCCACACCAAGAAGTGTTCAGTGGAATATAAACACATTTTGCACCAAATTGAAAAAGTTAATGCAAGTTCTACAGTTAGAAAACCAGTATATATAAAACCCACGTGGCCCAATCTGTTCACACACCATGGTTATTCCTCATAAACCCAACTGCTGGGCCGGCACCGCAGCTCACTAGACTAATCCTCTGCCTGCAGCGCCAGCACCCCAGGTTCTAGTCCTGGTTGGGGCACCGGGTTCTAGTCCCAGTTGCTCCTCTTCCAGTCCAGCTCTCTGCTGTGGCCCGGGAGTGCAGTGGAGGATGGCCCAAGTGCTTGGGCCCTGCACCCCATGGGAGACCAGGAGGAAGCACCTGGCTCCTGGCATCGGATCGGTGTAGCTCCGACCGTGGCAGCCACTTGGGGGGTGAACCAACGGAAAAGGAAGATCTTTCTCTCTGTCTCTCTCACTGTCTATGACTCTACCTGTCAAATAAATTAAAAAGAAAAAACAACTGCCACGTGTCCCGGAACCGTGGGCTGGTTGGAAACACTCTTCTCATTGCACAGTAATGCAGGTTGTAAAACAAACAAGCGAGGAGCTGGTGCGTTGGCAGTTCCACTGGAGAGCACCCTGGGTGATGGTGTCATCCACCTCTGCACCAAGGAGCAGCCACGCGAAAGCCCAGAAGTGCACACAAGAAACACAGCTGAAACCTACTATTCAAGCTTCTCCAACAGCCTGCTTGAATTTCTTGAAGTTTTGCAAAATAAAATATTATGATTATTGCCTTATTCACAATGTACAGAGGGATTTTACCATATAGACTGGTGATCTTACAGGCACTGGTCGTGGAAGAGAGTCTGTTTTTGGTCAACTGTATGATGATCAAGCAAGCTTTTTTGAGGAGGAAAAGGTGGCAAGAATTAAACACAAGAAGAAAAGCACTGTGTCCATGGTGAACAATGGCAGTGCTCAGCATGGGTCTCCATTTCTGATTACTACAGGAGAAAATCTAGATTACCTTCATGGTGTTCATACAGCATTTAGCAAGGTGATGGAGCCGTGGGCATAGTTAAGAAAATTAGTGAGGCCTTTGCTGATAAGGACTTTGTACCATACCAATTGCTTTTAGATAATCCATTTGGCACCCTCCTGATTTATTGCTGATCGATCACCAGAACCCACAAGGGAACAGTTAGTGGCCAAATAGGAGCAGATGAAGAAATTGATGATTTTAAAGAAGATCAGCTGAAGTAGACACCATCAGCCAGCTTAAGAAATAGACCAAGACCTACATTTTAAAGTCCTCTGTATGTCCTCCCCTCCAGTAATTGTTACTCCAAATTTTGTTTGTCATCCTCTTGCTAGTTGTTATAGTTTCACAATATATGTGTGCATCATTAAATGTAATAGTTTTTGTATATTTTTGAATTTTATATAAATGGCTTAATGTACATTTTTTTAGAAAGCAACAGCATGTCTTTATCAAAAATTTTGATATTTTGGCTATCTTGGGTGTCGCTCCCCCTCTTCGTGGAGGAGCAACACAGGACCCTGCGCTGTTCTTTCTGTCTGCTCGGCCCTCCCCGGGTTTGCTGCTGGTTCTTCCCGGGTTGGCTACTATCCCTTCCACCTCCGTGGAAGGGCAGTTCCCCCTGGCCACATTCCCCACTTCCGCAGGGGAGCGGCACACCGCCGGCCGGCTCTCTCGGGGGCTGCACAGGTGTTCCCCTTAGATGTTCCTGGTGCATGCCGTCTCTCTCCTCCTTTATAGTCCTCCTCCGCCAATCCCAACTCGGCTGCCCACACGCCGAGTACGCTGCTCTCCTCCAATCAGGAGCAGGTCCTGCAGCTTGTCAAGTTGGTGAGAGGCAGCTGGGTAGAAGCTGTTGCCTCCTCTCCCAGCGCCATATTGTGGGAGAGCAGATGCATAGAATAAGTCTTAATTCCAGTAACTTAGTCTAGTCCGAGTTGCTCCCCACAGATCCCCCTTTCTTTTTATTTTTGGCGTTGATACGCGCCTGTCTTCGGTGCCCCGCGGCACACACTCTGCTCTGCTTGCTAGAGTTGCCCACAGGTGCTTACAAGTCCTATCAATCAGGCAAACCGAATCCGGGTCCTCTCTTCGCCATGTTGTGAGGAGGTTTTTAGGCGCTGATGCGTGCCTGTGTTCGGTGCCCTGCAGCGCATGCTCTACTCTGCTAGAACTGCCTGCAGGTGCTTACAAGCCCTAACAAGCAAACCGAATCCAAGCCTTCTCATTGCCGTATTGTGGGGAGACTTATTGATGTTGATTCGTGCCTATCTTCGGTGACCTGCAGCTCATACTCTGGTCGAGCTGCCTGCTGGTGCTTACCGCCTTACTAATCAGGCAGACTGAATCCAAGCCTTCTCATTGCCATGTTGAGGGAGGCCTTATTTTTCTCCATTTCTCTATCTCCGGGCATTCCTATCTCTCCCATTTTACTTCTATCTACCAGCATTCCTATTTCTCTCATTTTACTTCTAAACTTCTGTTTCTCTTATCCCTGCGGCTTCCCGGCACCCGCCCCGAGGCTGCTTCTCGGCGGCTTCCCGGCTCTGAGCCGCTTCAGCCCGCGCTTCTCCCATCTGCGCGGCTCGGCTTTGCGCGCACACTCCGCGGTCTCCACGCCCCTTTGCGTCCGCACCACGGCCTCGCGTTCCCTATCTATTCACGCCCCGTGCTCTCTCTGCACGCGGCGGCTTCCGCGAGTCACACAGCGTAGCTTGCGTCTCCGCCACTAGCATTCAATCCAAGTTCCCCGGGCTAACCTGGCGAATTCAACCCAGCTCACGTCTCCGCCCCACGATTTGGCTTCCCGTCCTTTGCTCCCCGGGCTAATCAGACGGATCCCAATCTGGCTTACGTTTCCGCTTCTGGTTTCAACTTTTCGCCCCCTATTCCCGGGCTAACTTGAGAATCCCAAAGTGGCTTTCGTTTCTGCCTCAGCCTGCCCCCCGCGGCTTCAATTTCCCTAACATTTTTCTCTACCCGGTATATTTCCCCAAGCTTTCCTCCAACAATACTCCTCCCTCATTTCTCCTGGCCTCTCCCCACAGTCCGCATCCGAGTCTGTTTGTTCTAGCTTTCACTTTCGCTTTCGACCTTAGAGATTTCTCCCAGCTTCCCCCCGTAGTCCGTATCCAAGTCTATGCCTAGGCTTTCAATAGCTTTTTCCGGCACCCCCTTCGTCCGGCTTTTCCCTAGGCTGTTTGCTAGTCTCTCTCTCCGATATTTTCCCATTTCTTCCCGTTTCTTCCCTCCTAAGTTTCCTATCCGTCCTAGGTTTCCTATCCGAGTCACGGCACCATTATGTCGCTCCCCCTCTTCATGGAGGAACGACACTAAACCCTGCCTAGGCTTCCTATCCGAGTCACGGCACCATTATGTCGCTCCCCCTCTTCGTGGAGGAACGACACTGAACCCTGCCTAGGCTTCATATCCGAGTCACGGCACCATTATGTCGCTCCCCCTCTTCGTGGAGGAGCAACACAGGACCCTGCGCTGTTCTTTCTGTCTGCTCAGCCCTCCCCAGGTTTGCTGCTGGTTCTTCCCGGGTTGGCTACTATCCCTTCCACCTCCGTGGAAGGGCAGTTCCCCCTGGCCACATTCCCCACTTCCGCAGGGGAGCGGCACACCGCCGGCCGGCTCTCTCGGGGGCTGCACAGGTGTTCCCCTTAGATGTTCCTGGTGCATGCCGTCTCTCTCCTCCTTTATAGTCCTCCTCCGCCAATCCCAACTCGGCTGCCCACACGCCGAGTACGCTGCTCTCCTCCAATCAGGAGCAGGTCCTGCAGCTTGTCAAGTTGGTGAGAGGCAGCTGGGTAGAAGCTGTTGCCTCCTCTCCCAGCGCCATATTGTGGGAGAGCAGATGCATAGAATAAGTCTTAATTCCAGTAACTTAGTCTAGTCCGAGTTGCTCCCCACACTTGGGCTTTTTGCCTTAATATTAACTTTTTAAAATATGATTTATTTTATTTATTTGAAAGGCAGAATGACAGAGACAGAGAGACAGAGAGATACAGAGAGACAGAGAGAGGCAGAGAGTTCTTCCAACCACAGGTTCACTCTCCACATGCCCACACCAGCCAGGGCTGGGCCAGGCAGAAGTCAGGAGCCAGGAACTCCATCTATGTCTCCTGGGTGGCAGGAGGCCAAACACTTGGGCCATCTTCTGTTGCTTTCCCAGGCACATTAGCAGGGAGCTGAACTGGAAATAGAGCAGCCGGGACTCGAACCGGTACTTTGATGTGGGATGTGGCTTAACCCACTGTGCCACAATGGCGGCCCCAGCATTGATTTTTTTAAACATTACACTAGGGACAGGTGTTTGGCCTAGCAGTTAAGACATCAGTTAAGATGCCTACTTCCTGTATCTGAGTGCCTGGCTCTGGCTCCTGACTTCAGCTTCCCACCAATGCAGACCCTGGGAGTCGGAAGTGAGTCTCAAGTAATTGGGTTCCTGCCACTCACACGGGAGATGTGGATTGAGTTCCCAACTCCCAGTTTCAGTCCTGCCCAGTCCCAGCTGTTGTGAGCAGTTTGAGAGTGTACCAATGAACAGACACTGCTCTCCTCTCCCCCCGCCACCCATCAAAAAAAAAAAATTCACTAAAGTTTTTACCTCATTGAGTTTTTTTGTCACCCACTAAAATTTTTGTCTCACTCTAATTCTAGCCCTGGTGAAGGGTCATGTTGTCCACTACATACTCACAAATAGTTCATTTAAAAATATATGTGTATAGGGGCCAGTGCTGTGGGGCAGTAGGTTAATCCTCCGCCTACGGTGCCGGCGTCCCATATGGGCGCTGGTTCTAGTCCCGGCTGCTCCACTTCCAATCCAGCTCTCTGCTATGGCCTGAGAAAGCAGTAGAAGATGGCCCAGGTCCTTGGGCCTCTGCACCCGTGTGGGAGACCAGGAAGAAGCACCTGGCTCATGGCTTCAGATCAGTCCAGCTCCGGCTGTTGCGGCCAATTGGGGAGTGAACCAGCGGATGGAAGACCTCTCTCTCTGTGTCTCTCTCTCACTGTCTGTAACTCTTTCAAATAAATAAATAAAATCTTTAAAAATATATATGTGTATGTATTAAGTATATGCGGGCTTACATATATGATACAGGTGTATGCACACATACGACATGTGTGTGGGTATTCACTCATATACATAGAGAGAGAAGCAAATGTGGCAAAATCAAACAATCAGTGAATTAAGGTGATATACAGGTATTCACTATACAATTCTTGGAATTTTTCTATAAGCTGGAAAATTTTCAAGCTGTAATCCTAAAGCAGGAAGAAAAATTACTAAATGGGTATAAAAACCAGGCATACATTTTTTACAGGTTAAGTTCATTAAAATAGGAAGCTGCTATTCTGAGTGTGACCCACATATTAGTCCTGGGACAGACTTTGCTAAGACCAGGGCCTCCGTTAACGAGAAGCCTCTGTTAACCATGATATTGTCAAATACATTCCGCATGCGAATGGAATATGTCCCTGCAAGAGCTGGCCCTGGCAGCGATGTTCGTTCACTGGGAGAACATGCAACGGCCTCCATTGCAGACCGTAGCCTCCCCTGACAAGCTGTGGCTCTGCAGCGCTCCGGCCCGCGCCATGGCAGCTTCAGGCGATGCGTCTGATGCGTCAGCTATTCTCTTTGTGTTCAGTGTCGCATGAGCGTTGTTACTGAGAAAAGAATCAGCTACAAGCCTCATATTTATTTGACATGGCAATGTTAGAAATAGCAAAGAAGAGAACCACTTTGGGAGAGACAGTTCCTTAACAAAATGTGAGCAAAAAATTAGATGTGGGCTGACATACCCAAGCTTTTAAATAATTTAGAGGATATTGAAATCATTAAAGCTTAAATATTCAAGTGTCACAGGCAAGCTTATTTATTTTAAATAACGGGTCAAAATAGATTATATGTTGGTACAGACAGATAAAAGAGGAGATAGATAATAGCTAAGCAGACAGACATATGGTACACAGATAAGTATATTAGGTGTATGAGAATATCTATATATCCAAATATATACCTATATGCTTCTATATAAATATGCAGACAGGTAATATTGAGTATTTATTTGGTTGTGGAAAGGCGTTTCCCTTAAATGTTTTATTGTGCATAGATTTTAAACTTTTACTTTTAAGTAGTTTTTTAAGTATGTGCATTGCACTTCTTCAAATCTTCTAAGAAATGTTTCCAACATTTTTCATCCCCGTGTTCTCTATCATAGCAAGAAATGAGAAATAATCTAACTATCCAAGAATATGGAAATAGTTAAGGAATATGATACCACCATTTGAAGAGTCTCAAAAAGAGTTTAAAACCTAAAAAATCATTAAAATGTGGTTTTTAGGAAAAGTGGGTATCACATATACTTTTATAATAGTGCATCTATGTTAAAAAGGCAAACAAATAAAATACACATGTTATAATAATACTGAAAGTACTCTGAAAGAAATCACTAAAACCTGAAAGTAAACATTTGCTAATAAATAATTGGATACATACATAGATAGTTATTTCAAAATTCAGTCACCCTGTCAGGGACCTTGGCTAACCAGCAAGTCTCAAATCATAGTCCTCCACCATCAGTCTTTACCCTAATGTGCCTGATTTTTCTTCTTACCCCTTTCTGACATGACGGTAGATAAGGACTCTTCAGCAAGTCAGTGCGAAATACGTATTAAGAAAAACTGCCTGGATTTCAAAACATTTTTGCACCAAAATAAACTTCTAATTGCCTTCTTCTACTGGAAGTCTCTTCATTTAATTATCTATTAGCTATTCCCTGCCGCCTCTACTGACGCTTGAATTTTATGAGGACAGGCATCTTGGCTGTCTTTCACATTGTTTCCCAGTGTCTGGCACATAATGGAGGCTGAGTAAAAAATGTGTTGAATGAATTGAGAAGCTGTCTAAGAGCACTTCAAATATGACGTAAATTATAAGAATACTATTTGGAAGTAAAATAGTGTGAAAAATGAAATAATCTGAGTTAGTAGTTAAGAATCCCAAACTTCAATTAAAAAAAAAAAGAATCCCAAACTTCAAACAAAATCATCTCATAAAAGTGAGATGATTAGTCTGAATATGGCTTAAGGGAATGTAGGACTTAAAGGAATTTAGAGTCTCTGTGTCCAATATAGTGCCTTCACTCAGAAACCCTAAGACATCAGCAGTTCACTCCAGCACACAGCACCCTGGGCCAGCGGATGAGTTCTAATGCCTGATGCCCTAGGACCCAGTTCAGGGTTTGGGTACCCCGCCCCCACACATACCCACACATCAAGGTCGGGAGGTCATCTGTGGGATCCGTGGGGTCCGTGGTCTGCAGTTTCAGAGCGTGATGGAACGGCAGGATCTCCAGTGCCCTAGAGTCTCGATGTGAATGTGCTAGAGCGGCTCGTCTCGGGATTAACACTGAGCTCAGACATTCAGCAAGCTCCCAGCTGACCCTGACCCAAGAGAAGGCACTCCGGACGGAGGACCGCCCCAGAAGAACATCCAAGTCTTGAAACTTCTCACAGGAAGAGACTCTCCCACTCTTTCCTGACATTTCCATGACTAACAATGGCTCAAATGGCTCCTATTCTGTTTCAAATCCACCCTTTCTCTCAGTTTTTTAACTTTTTCCTTATGTCTATTTACTTGTACACCAACTTTGATAAATTTCCTATTCATTCCCATTACAAATATTTCTACGCATGAGCCTATAATATACTTACTAAATTCTGTAAGTAAACTCTTCATGTTTTGAAATGTAGAAGTCAACTGAGATGATTCTGTCCCTTACTATTTGCGGCAGATTGAACTGCACGTCCTTCCTGGCTTTTGGAAGATCCTGTGCCTTCTCCAAGACTTGTGAAGACTGCCTTCCCAAAGATTTGCGAGAATTCTTCAGGAGTTTATGTTTTTTCTTGTCACATCTCTCATAGAAGAGGTGCCAGTCCACATGAAACAGATAGTTTACAAATATACCCACACTTGCATGTTTACTGCAGCGCTATTCACAATAGTCAACATATGAAATCAACCTAAGTGTCCATCAACCTAGGTATCCATGAATGGATAAAGAAAAGGTGTTACGTCTAAGAAGATCAAAATTCTGTCGTAGAATTGAAACACCAGAAATCAACCCAAACATCTACAGCCAACTTATATTTGATCAAGGATCTAAAACCAATTCCTGGAGCAAGGACAGTCTATTCAATAAATGGTGCTGGGAAAACTGGATTTCCACGTGCAGAATCATGAAGCAAGACCCCTACCTTACACCTTACACAAAAATCCACTCAACATGGGTTAAAGACCTAAATCTACGACCTGACACCATCAAGTTATTAGAGAACATTGGAGAAACCCTTCAAGATATTGGCACAGGCAAAGAATTTCTGGAAAAGACCTGGGAGGCACAGGCAGTCAAAGCCAAAATCAACTATTGGGATTGCATCAAATTGAGAAGTTTCTGTACTGCAAAAGAAACAGTCAGGAGAGTGAAGAGACAACCGACAGAATGGGAAAAAATATTTGCAAACTATGCACCAGATAAAGGGTTAATAACCAGAATCTACAAAGAGATCAAGAAACTCCACAAAAACAAAACCAACAACCCACTTAAGAGATGGGCCAAGGACCTCAATAGACATTTTTCAAAAGAGGAAATCCAAATGGCCAACAGGCACATGAAAAAATGTTCAAGGTCACTAGCAATCAGGGAAATGCAAATCAAAACCACAATGAGGTTTCACCTCACCCCGGTTAGAATGGCTCACATGCAGAAATCTACCAACAACAGATGCTGGCGAGGATGTGGGGAAAAAGGGACACTAACCCACTGTTGGTGGGAATGCAAACTGGTCAAGCCACTGTGGAAGTCAGTCTGGAGATTCCTCAGAAACCTGAATATAACCCTACCGTTCGACCCAGCCATCCCACTCCTTGGAATTTATCCAAAGGAATTTAAATTGGCAAACAAAAAAGCGGTCTGCACCCTAATGTTTATTGCAGCTCAATTCACAATAGCCAAGACCTGGAACCAACTTAAATGCCCATCAACGGTAGACTGGATAAAGAAATTATGGGATATGTACTCTTTAGAATACTATACCGCAGTAAGAAACAACGAAATCCAGTCATTTGCAACAAAATGGAGGAATCTGGAACACATCATGCTGAGTGAAATAAGCCAGTCCCAAAGGGACAAATACCATATGTTCTCCCTGATCGGTGACAACTGACTGAACACCAAAAAGGAAACCTCCTGAAGTGAAATGGACACTATGGGAAACGGTGACTTGATCAGCATAGCCCTGACTGTTAATGAACAACTTAATTCATTATCCCTCTTAGTAGTTTTTTTTGTCTGTTCTACTTAATATGACTGGTTTAATTCTGTAATTCATACACAGTTATTCTTAAGTGTTGAAAATTAACTGAAATGTGATCCCTGTTAAACATAAGAGTGGGAATAAGAGAGGGAAGAGATGTACAATTTGGGACATGCTCAGGCTGACTTGCCCCAAATGGTAGAGTTAGAAACATACCAGGGGACTCCAATTCAATCCCATCAAGGTGGCATGTACCAATGCCATCTCACTATTCCAAGTGATCAATTTCAGTTCACAATTGATCATAATGAAAGGACTAAGAGTCAAAGGGAGCACATAAACAAGTCTAGTACCTGCTAATACTAACCGATAGAATAAATAAAGGGGAGAGTGATCCAACATGGGAAGGGAGATACTCAGCAGACTCATAGAATGGCGGATGTCCTAAACAGCACTCTGGCCTCAGAATCAGCCCTAAAGGCATTCGGATCTGGCTGAAAAGCCCATGAGAGTATTTCAGGCATGGAAAGCCAAGACCCTCTGGCAAAAGAAAAAAAAAAAAACCTAAATGAAAGATCTCTGTGAGTGAGATCCCAGTGGAAAGAACAGGTCTTCAAAGAAGGAGGTACCTTTCTCTGAAGGGAGGAGAGAACCTCCACTTTGACCATGACCTTGTCTAAACAAGATAAGAGTGGAGAACTCAGGGCTCATAGCTGAAACTCATGACTGGAGCATAGGGAGATACTGATGCATAAACAGGGAGTGTCAATTTGTAAAGTCAAC